AAAAAAAAAAAAAAAAAACCCAAACACATTTTATTTATGGGTGAAGTTTTGGCGTCTGTAAACTTTTATGAGCCAAATTACGTCGTGGCTCTTGGGGGCACCCCGGGTTGTTCAGAGCCCTCAGCTGGCTGCTCTAGGCCACCAGCACCGTAGGAGGGCTGCGGAGCCGTGGCCGTGGCAAGCTGAGGAGCTGGAGCCCACCACGACAAGTCCCTCCCACCCCGAGGGTCAACGCGTCTAAGGGGATGTAGAAGGAGTTTAAATAGAAATAAATTATTTTAAATATAAATTATAATTTAAGCTGGTGGACTGGAAACAGATTTTAAGGCCCGGTGAAGCGTGATCAGGACGGAGCGACCTCGTCATCTCACCAAGGCAACCGGGGTGCTGCTTGTATCATCCTGGCCTAAGGCTGGTTTAAAACCCAGTCCAGCTTATCCTATAGAGACAGTTTTAACAAAGGAGGATGAATGGACGAGTCACGGCGGTTTTGCTACATTGAGAGAATTTAGGCTAGAGAAATCGCTCGCTCTACTTCAGCTTTTCATCGACCACCTTGAAGAGTTTCCAGAATGGTGCAAGACAAAAACTAGAGGAAGAAAGATGAAGAAAATGCCCCAAAAGATGACCCTGAAACTGAGGGTTTGGAACTGGAAGAGAGTTTGGCTGAGACAGGGGATTGTTGTGAAATGTAATCATGGAGAATCGAGAACTAAAAGGTTGAGCGGAAACTCGTGAAGACTTTGGACTTGGGTAATAAATTTAGAACAATTTATAAACGCGCGAGGCCTTCGGGAGTTGGCCCCGCGTTGAGATGTTGGCCCAACTGTTGAGTTGTTACTAAACCTGCGCCTAAAGATCCCCCCGTCTGGTGAAATCCTTAACCAGGGGACTTCAAGGTGATAGCCAGAGCGTGGCGAAGATGAGGAGGTCTGATTAATGACAGAGCACGTCGTTAAACGTCGGAGTGGGGAAGGCCACCGCGTTCGAAGGCCTGAGGGGAAGGCTTGGAGGGCGAGCACACGGCTCTGGGCTCACCATCTTCTCGCCGGGGTTCTCCTCGTCGCCGCCCGCAGCTCGCTCACGACGGTGTCGTTGCTTTTGGCGATGTCGACGAAGAGCTGATAATCGTCGCGGAGGTAGAAATATTCCATGTGAAGCCAATGGGGGAAAAACTCATCTTCGTCTCGCCCACGGAGAGGCAGAGTTGCTCTGCGCTGGCGAGGAGAGCTTGGGAAAGGATCTGGGGGTGAAATAAAATGGGTTATTTTTTAAAAAAGGGACCGAAATGGGAGGCTCAGCGTTGCTGTTGCGTCCCGTGTGAAGTTTCCTCATCAAAAATAGTTCTCAGGGTGGAATTAAGAGCGACTGTTGGTCACGGCTGAGGAGCAGCCACAGAGCAGCACCAGGGAGGGCTTGTAAAAACACCAGATTTGGCCAGGACTAGGGCCAAAGTCAAGGCCAGTTGAATATGGTGCTCAACCCAACCCTGTGGTGCTCCACCCAACCTTATGGTGCTCAACCCAAATCTACAGTGCTCAACCCAACCCTACGGTGCTCAACCAACCCTAACGGTGCTCAACCCAACCCTACAGTGCTCCACCCAACCCTACGCTGCTCAATCCAACCCTACGCTGCTCAAACCAACCCTACTCACCTCGTAGACGGAGTTATCTTGTCCAGGAAAAGCCATCCTGACGAAGTCGTTGGCGTAATAGCAGAGCATGTTTGGAGTGCGGTCATCTGGCATCCAGACGTTCTTGATGATGTTTTGGTAGAACCTGGCCACTTCCCCTGTCGGGTTCTTGGGTTGGCCTAGAAGGGACAGAGTTACGGCCACTCAGCAGAACAGCGGAGCACGTGTGAAGACCGAGGTGGATGTGAGGGCGAGCGCAAGGCCACGGGTGAAGAGGCCCAACGGAAGCGGAGATACCACGCGGGAGGTTCCTCCTCGTAAGGACGCGGATTTGGGGCCGTTTTTGTGGTGTTGAAGCTCCCCCGGGAAAGCCCGACGTTACCTTTCGTATGATAGACCCTCTCCCACACGTTGTCCAGGTAGGATTTCACAACCCAACTGAACGGGAACTGGCAGAAGAGGGAGGTGTTGGGGTCTTCGGTCATCGACAACACGGAAATCTTGGCGTCTGCCGCCCTTGGATTCAAACAGCGGAGGAAGAAACGTTAAACTACGCAACAGGCCGTAGGCGGCCAGAGGAGGAGCACCTCAGAGAAGTTCCCAACGCCCCCTGATGTGTTTTCTTAAAGTTGCTCAGAAACTCCAGGAGAAATTGGGTTGGAAAGTCAAGGAAATGGGGCAAGACCAAAGAAAGAGAGGTTTGCCGACAGCTTACAGCAACCAGGAGTTTTGGTGCCAGTTTTGGCAAGGCTGAGGCAAGCCTGACCTACTATTTCCCTGCAAAGCTTTTATTCTGTTAAGGAAAACCACCCCCGTGTAACATTACACCCCGTCTCTTACTTTCTGGTGTATTTAATTTTGAGGAACGTTTCTTCTTGGAACATCTGGAGCCAGAGTTCTGCGAGCGGAGAGCCTTGGGAGATGTGATCCAGGTTGTTGTTGGCATCCACCACAGCGAGAATTTGGGCAAAGACGTTCGTCACGATGTCCTCCAGGTGCATCCAGAGCGCTTGCCTGAGAAAGGAGAGGCCACACCTCCTCGCTTACCCACCCTCCCCCCAAAAACCCTCCGCGGCTTCGCTCTCAGGGACCCACAAATGAACCAGAACAACCCAAACGCTTCTGAAAACGCCGAACGTGGACGTCCAGGCTTGTCGCCAACCACCCTTTTCCGTTTCAGAGTCAACGGATGTTGTTGGCTTCCAAACAAGCCCTTTCCAAAGAAGCTTCCTCAAAACCAACAGCGCTCTTGATTAATTTTTTTTTTTTTTTTTTGCTTTTTTAGGACCTTTCAGCAAGTCCCTACCTTGGTCTGGTAAATCCCCACGTATTTAAAGACTTTGTGGTTGCCACGTCTTGGTCTTTAAGCAAGGTGCCTCCCACTTCACACCGAGCGGTTTTAGGACCAGAAAATATCCCGGCGTTGGGGGTGGTGGCCCAGAGCCAGCCCTACCTGAACGACGTGTCCTCCAGGATGAATTCCACAGAGAGCGCCCTGCGGAAAATCCATTCCCTCGGCTTTTGGATTGGTTTCTCTCGTTCTTGTAGGAGGTAACAAATCCTCTTCTTCAGGATGGTCATGAAGCGGTGGGAAACTAATCACAAAAGAGCTGGTTAAAACCCTCCTGGAGCTCATCTCCAAGTCAGGAGACTCCAGCAAAACCCTTTTCCACTCAAAAAATTGCCCCGCGTAAGATTTTTCTCTGTCAAAACCCTTTTCCGCTCAAAAATCGCACCGCCTAGGGTATTTTTTAGCAGTTCTGTGCACAAATCAACTCCCGATAGCCAGTGACAACTGTCTGGGATCATCTACCAAGGTTTGCAGCAAAGTGGTTTAGTCCAGATTCTAATCCCGTGCATGAGGAACGGTGTGGGGGACCCCTGCAACCTCCCCCTCTGTCTCCTGGGGGCTTCTCCACCCACGATGGCTTTGAGGGGCACCAGAAGTGGCTCTTAACCCGCTTGTTGTCTTCTGCCAGCTGTAGAGCTGGCAACGGGCAAGAAGGAGCCACTTCTAAGCGCTCTCGACTCGCACATACCGTGACTCTGAGAGTGGAAAAGCAAGTTGTGAAGGATCTTGATTCTCTCCGTTGGGCGCTGGCTGTTGTCCTTCTTGTCCTCAGCTGGATCACGGCCTTCTGGATGCTCCCTTTGATCATTGCCTCCACGTTGAGGAACTGTGGTTGGAAAAGACGGGGGGTCAGTTGGTTTCTCAACACTAGTTGATGTCCTGGGACGTCAACTTCTCCCAGCTCTAAGGTCCGGACCCATCTCACCATCCCAACAAACCCTGGGTAAGTCCCTCCCTGGGGCGCAGAGGCTGCTGGTGTCCCTGGGAAGGGAGACCACCACCCTGCTTGGATCTCGCAGTGAGATCCAGGAAGATCTGCAGTTATTTTTTTCCTGTGAGAAGGGACCAAACCCAAACCCCCAAAACAACCTACATTTACCTCTGGGTAAAGATCCGTGTCGGTGAGGCTTCCCGAGGCAGGAGAATTCTCTGGAGAACCTGAAATCACAATCAACCGCACGACTCAGCCATCAAAACCCCAATGAGAGATAACGTGCGCCCACGGGAGGTGGCCGGGGTTGCGGCCTTGACAGTCAACAGGGAGACATAAAGCGGTCCTGGGGTGGAAAACAGCTTCTCGATGCCACGAGCCCCTCAGATTTGTGGGGAGGAAACCTGTTGGTGGGAAAAGCAAAACAGCAAAAGAAAAAAAAAATCTGTAAAGCACACATTTCCTTGCCACAGGGTGCCCCGAACCGACACAGGATGGGCTGAGGATTCAGCGATTTGTGTTGCCGTGGCGCCAGGAGGGACACGGAGCGAGGTGGAGGCCTCGCGGTCCCGTTCTTTCACTTCTCTCAAGGACAGGTTTATCTCCTGCTCTTCCCCTTCTCTCCAGGATGGTCTGGCACCTTGTTTCTCATTTTTCCTCTTTTCCCACAAAAAAAAAACAACAAACCCTCCAAAAACCCCAAACCAGTTCACCCCTTGCACCAAGGAACGTGTCGTCTCGTTGCTCAAGAGACAACGGCCGGACCACAGTCCCGCTCACTCACACAAGATCAATCCTACCCCGAGTTTGCGTCCCAGAGGGACAGATCAATGGTTTGTGCTCCTTGATCCACCCCCCCTGAAAACTTTTGGTAAGATCTGAGTCCTCAGCTACGCTGAGCTATTACCCTGGAATTAATTATTGTAGGAAATCTTAGAGGATCTGTAAATGTTGCATAAAACCCAACTATTCCTGAATCTGACGGATCTCTTCAGCTCAACCAGACTTACAGCCCAGCGGCTCTTTGTGCATCCGGTGTCAGGCCTAAAGTCACGGCCCCAGTTGGCAAAACAATTAAAGAGAAGGAGAAAACTTTACAAAACTCTTGTCTCTTAGGATATTATTAATAGGAGGGATCACTGAGAAATAGCTATTGGTCTATAGGTTTGGTTAACAGGTGCTGTAAGAACAACCCTCACAGTTTAGCGCTAATACTGCTCCTTTGTCCCCCGCCCAGCCCTCATCAGGGCAGGCTTAAACCCGGTCAAGCTGAATTAACAAAAATCAATCGTAAGTAGTAAGTTTTAGACATCACAAAAGATAAAGAAATAAATGATTAAGCTTGAGTAAGCGATTTAGAAAAGCTGGGTGATAGAAAAGCAAGACATAGGTTAAATAGAAGATCTGGAGGCTTTTTACAGAAGCTTAAAATGAAGATTGATTAGCAGATTAACGACCACGATGACCGAAGATTTCATCAGTGAGCAGCGATGTCGGAAGAGGAATTGGAACGGAACGATAAGAACTACTCAAACTTTGAGATTGATGATGAATTGAGAACCAAAAATTCCCGGAAAATCACCGAAGACTCTTTCTGTTGTATGTTCCATCATATCTAGAGAGGGAGCTTTTCTAATCTCTGAGGACTGGATAGAACGCAAGGGGATTCATCTCTTACCTAATTAATTCATCGCCTTAAATTCAACAAGACCTCTAAACAAGGATGTGGATTCAAGGAGTCGGCCCGTAACGACGGATCAAACCGTTTCCACCCCGTTTTCCCAACCCTCCAATCAAAGAAGTCAACAAGTGTGTGTTGACTCCACACAGAAGGAGACCACGA